CAAACACATATGCACACACATTTTACACATATATAGTCATAGATATATACATAATTGTTCATTTTCATATCTAATTTTTTGGTTTTGGAAATTAATTTTATGAAACAGGAAAGACAGTTTCATAACGCATAGAGCGTTTTGTGATGCATTAGCAGAAGAAAGTGCAAGAATCATCTCATCTTCTTCCTCCAATCTCAGAAACCCTAACCCTAACTTCCAAGATCGTCACTTTATGGTCAATAACTCTTCTTCTTCTTCCTTGCTCTTTACGTCACCTCTTTACGTTGATCCACCACATTCCTCCTCTGTCTCCACCTCGGCAGCTCTTTCAGCGACGGCTCTCCTCCAAAAAGCGACCGCTCTCAGCTCCGGGGCTCTCGGCGGCGGAGGACAGACGCGATCGATGGGTCATCACCGGCATTTGACGACGGTCAACGAGCTTCTTGGTGTTGACCCAGTCATGATGACGTCATCTTCATCGTCTAAGTACGACCAGTTAGTTGCTGATGGGTTGACGTCCACGTGGCAGAAAGCTGACCGTTTGACCAGAGACTTTCTTGGACTCACGGGCCATGGAGTGCACGTTAGCGTTAGACCGGGCGATATGATACAGTACGCAGGTGGAGTGGCGTTTCCTATGTCAGCGGCGTACGATACCGAATCTCATCATCACGAGTCGTCGTCGTTTCAGAAGGTTTACGGTTTCGGATTCTCTGGGCCCAACACTATGTAAAAGGGTAAAACTGGAATCTTCGTTATTTTGTTGCTCTTAAATGACTCAAATACCCTCGGGAACATGAACACAAAGACAAAGAGCATGCATTAGCATTTCTTTTTTTGCTAAAACAAAGAGCATTTCTTTTTGGTTACTTTCTAGGGATTGTTTTTTTTTTTTCTTTCACAATTTTTTTTACAGCTTTAAAATTGAAATCGTACAAGTAAAACATTAGAACTTTTCTTTGAAAAATTTACGTCGGTTAAACAAAACTAGTGTTCTTTTAACAAGTTTGACATAAACCACGTCTTATTATATAAAGGAGAATGTGCACGATAAGAATACGATACATAGG